ATTTGTATTTTCATTATTATTTTTTCAAGGTTTGTCCAAGTTATCCTAGCACTGTTGTTGTGCCAAAATCTATTGATGATGAAACACTGATAGTTGCTGCAAGTTTCAGAGAAGGTGGCCGTTTCCCCATTCTTTGTTATCGTCATGATGGAGGGGTTTGTGTTCCCTGATAGATCCTTCTTTATTTTATTTGCTTTTAATTTTTATTCTATTTTAATTTACTGACAATTTTTTCTTGAATTGCTCAGAGTATATTGCTGAGGAGCAGTCAACCATTGCTTGGTCCAAATTCTAGACGGTGTAAAGAAGATGAGAAACTTCTAAATGCTGTACTTGGACCTGGAAAACGTGGCTACATCATTGACACTCGTTCATTGAATTTTGCTCAATCTGCAAAGGTATTTTACTTTCATGAAAAAGTGCAGCTTTAATATCAATTATGTACAATTTGTCATTTAGAAATGAATTGCCCTTCTTTTAAATATTCAGAAGGTACTAATAATTGCCTGCCCTTTTTTGCCTAGGCTAGAGGAGGAGGGTATGAAGTAGAAGTTAATTATCCTCAATGGCGGCGTTCTCACAAACCAATTGACAGACGTCATGTTCTGCTCGAATCTCTCACTAAGCTCATTGAAGGTTAACTTTGTGATAATTGGAGAGTTTTCCTAACACCAACTTATTCATTATTAACTATAGATGTCAATTGTTTTCAGCCTGTAATGATACATCATCATCTATGGATCGTTGGTTGTCACGCTTGGAGTCTTCCAATTGGATGACACATGTCAAGGACACACTTAATTGTGCATGTGTTGTGGCTCAGTGTTTAGATAAGGTAGTGACTTTCTTAACTTTCATTTAAAATCAAAAATTCTTTCACTTTTTTATTTTAATCTAATCTTTTCAGGAAGGCTTGTCTGTACTTGTTCATGGCTCTGAGGGATTGGACTCGACATTATTAGTGACTTCTCTTGCTCAAGTCATATTAAATCCTGATTGTCGAACTGTGCGGGGGTAATTTTTTTTTTATATATCTATCGTTTTTTCTTGCTATCTCATTTTCATATTTTATTTTAACAAATATAATTCTGTTTCAGTCTAGAGGCATTAGTTGAAAGGGAATGGATTCAAGCTGGTTACCCATTTCCCCAGAGGCATTCACGGTCATGCTACTCCAGCACTGGGAGAAACAAAAATCATGCACCTACATTTTTACTCTTCCTTGATTGTGTACAGCAAATTCACCAACAGTATCCGTGCAGTTTTGAGTTCAGCCAGCCACTCCTTATTTTATTATTTGAACATTCTTATAGTTCACAGTTTGGTAAGTACATGTTGCTACTCTAAATAAAGATACACATTTGTCTGTAAAGTTGCTTTAATTTATACTTCTTTTAATAAATTTTCATTTACTTTTTGGTGACAGGCACTTTCCTGGGGAACTGCGAAGCCGAACGAGTACGCCTGCAGCTTGCTCAAAGTACAGCCAGCCTTTGGTCGTTTTTAAACCGCCCTGATATACTTCAGTCCTATTTGAATCCAATGTATGACCCTAACAACAGAGTCATTTGGCCGTCTGTTGCCCCAATGAGTCTCGTAAGTGCAACAAATGTGTTATAGTATTTCCTATTCACTTTTTCATATTGTTCACAGTTCTTCATTCTTATTTTTCATCTATTTTAGTCTTTATGGTCAGAGCTGTATCTTCGATGGATAATAGACCAAAGTCCTCAACGTAAAGCCCTTCAAACAGTAATGACACTGAAAGAAAATGATAAAGAATTGAGACTGAGAGCAACCCGTCTAAGGAGACAGTTGGCTGACCTCGAGAAAGAAGCTGTGGAACGAGGGATTTTGAAAAAGACTTCATCTACAGACAGTGCAATGACACCAACAACAAGTACACCCTGTGCTTTGTCCCCAACAAGCCCAAGTCCTTCTGCAATGTAATTTTTTTTTATAATTTCGTAGAAAGAGTTCTATGGAATGATGTTTTTTTTAAAATTAAGTATTGCCTGTGCTTGATTATTGTCACTATCTGTTCTAGGATATGTTTCAATAATTGAGGGCAAGATATATTTCCTACCATTATTGGTAGGGTTTTTGTGATATTGTATGCTTTACTTTCCACTTATTCTTCTTTTGTCCTTTAATCTCCATTAGAACTGTTACACACTTGTTGAGTACTACTTAGGACTCTTTTATGCTTCAGCAAGAGAAATAATATATAATTTTATCTGATGCACCAACCATTATTATTATCTATCAATCTACTTGTTATCCTGTTTGTTTGGCTTTTGCTCTCTTTTATGATGTAGGAGGCATTGAGGTAAATTTTAAATGTGATGCAATAATAGTGTAGAGAAAATGCTTCACCTTTAAACAAATTGAAGTCTGTATTGTCAATCTGATTGTGAATGAATGAATTGATCATAAAGAATGTGTTGTTGCTATACATGCCCTAACAATATTCATATTCATTTCACCTAAGACCTAAGGTCATGTGATTTGTGAATCACCAAATTACTATCTAGTTTTACTGTGTTTTTTTTGGTGTTTTTTTTTTAAGTTTGGTATTTCAATGAGTTTAGTTCTTTCTCCAAGGAAGGCAAAGTTGTTTCATCTAACTGTTGAAGCCCTTGTTCTATTTTAACTCAAAAATCCTAATATAAATGTTACCATTCTTTTCCATTTATCTGCTGTCCGTTAGTTCCAAATTTTTGGTTTCCTTTCATCTTATTCAAAGATAATGATTCTTTTGGGTGCTCTGCTCCTCCTTTTTGTCAGTCAAATTATGATGAGCCACTTTGTGATCTATATCCCTGTTAAGTCTCAAATCATTGGGGTGGTTTTGAAAGCTTTCCTGATAGGAAGATGTAGCAGAGAAAAGTGTTTGAAACGGAAAAAGTGCTAAAAGTAAGTATTTGTTTGAAGAATTTTATTACTTTTTTCAAATACAAAAAAAAATAAAAATAATAAAACATCTAATTGTATTACCCGTGAGACGTACAAATTAGACAGTGCTCTTCAGAGGAAGACTAGCCAATGGTCAATCCTAGGGAATAAGGTTAATAGGAATGTTCTTAAAACTAGAAAGAGCAAACCAAGTGGCTTCTTCTTTGAAGAATACTCTATATTAACATTCATTCATGTAGAGTGACAGGCAACAGGCACAGAATGATTTGGTGAAAAATATAATCTTATGTAGTCTTTGTGGAACAATAGGTATTTCTGCCACTTTCATTGAGGCCAAATTGGGTTGGAATGTATTTCCAGAAAAGCAATGGTCACGAATGACTAAAATATTATATGGTACACATCGTTGCAACAAACAGATATTTGATATGGTGTGATTCGGTAGGACGTGAAAATTTAAGCATGACTTCAGTTAAGGTGCTTCTCCAATCAGACCTGTCATCCATTACCTCTCATTTCAGGTTTTGCATTTCAGCATTTACCACTCCAGCCCAGGTTTTCAAATGAAATTTAGGTTGTATTTTAAAGGAAAATATATTCTTACTAATTAAGAACAAATTTTGGTGCCAGTATGGAGGAACATCAGGACCTTATCATTTTCAATACACACATCCTGATGGGGGCAACAAAATATCTTACAAATTGGTATAAATACTTCTACTGCAATAGTGAACAACCAGAATTGGAATTAGCAATTAGGGCTGTGTCAGTGGATACAAAACCTGAAATGATGGGTGAAGGGTTATAATTTAAGTGACGAGTCTGATAGAAGGTGCACCTGTTGGTAGTCAGTTTCCTGTTTCCTTCGTCACTGTATGACATCAGCTCAAGTGCAGCTCAAACTTAACAAGAATAATAATAAATATGAGAACAGATTGAACAATATTAAACTTATTAACTGGCACCAATAACAACTTATAACTTTTATTACAGTACAAAAATAATATATGCATATAACTGTGGAGCACCCTTAATTTTCCACAATAGTTTTTTCAAATATTCAACATAAAACCTTTTGTCTTTGTCTTTTACAATCGTTCAATTTATAGAAAAATTGATGTTAAAGTCAACAATGGGTTGGACGAATTTTGTTACACTTGGGATCCACACAGCATTCCAAAGATCCTACATTTTTTCTCTACCTGCATGACTAGTTTCCGACTGTATTAAAATCATTAAAGTAAAACAGTTTCTAAAATGTAAAGAGAAGTGGAGACAAACAATTTTATTTGCTTGTGCCAACAATGTAAAACATCAATATATTTTGAAAATTGTTTGCGAGGCTGCCTGCAATGAACCTCCACAAAAACAAGCTTCCTACAGAAGTTATGAACAACTAACTAAAAGTGGAGGGTTTTAGGGAAATCAAGCACCACTATACCTACCTAAAATTATGAAGTTCCCTAAATCTTTGGTTTATACTTGTGCTTTCTTGTAAAAGTACTTTGTGCCATGCAGGATGCTTGGCACAACCTTGCCTCAACAGTAAAATGACCATTATCACTGACATATTCTATACTTGACAATAGACAGTTCTTTCTAATCATCAAATGCAGGTAGTCCAAAGAGCTCAGGTTTGAACTCAAGAAGTGAATTGAGCACGAGAGTTGCTGCCTTTTTCTTCTCTTCAGGTACACATTTATCTGGTATCATTACCGCTTGCATTCCTGCACACCGAGCTCCAACAACTCCATTAAAGGCATCCTCAAACACAAGGCACTATTTTTTTTGGAAAAATTAAAAAAATAAAATGAATATAATTATGCATGATTTTTTTTTAACCAAATCATATTTTAACTCTCTTACCTTTCCTGGTTCAGGTTTGTCAGGGAATCTCGATGCACTCACAAGGAAAATATCTGGGGCAGGTTTACCATTCTTGACATCTGGATCAGAAGTTCCACTTACTATGTGGCTAAAGAGTGAGAACAATTCTTTGTAGTTCTTGGTTTTAACTTCAATACTCTCCTTACTGCTGCTGGTAGCAACAGCCATTGGCACATTGTGCTTACTCAGATGACGTACAAGACGTTCAGTTCCTTTTAAAATGACAAACAATGATAAGAATTTGTTTGCTTTAGTATGAGTCATTCTATCTGAAGGTCAAAGTTCCTACCTTGACACAACTGTGCATCCACTAGAAGTGCTAAACTTTTTGATTTGAATAGTTTACTGAATTCCTCCTCACTTGGGAGATTACATTCATTGACAAGTATTTGCACTGTATCCTTTTCAGTTGTGCCTGTCACCATCAATTGTAATTCGGGGGTGTATATGTGGCCGTAATGGGCCAAGGCTTCAGTGAGAGCACGTTTGTAGAGTTTCTCAGTGTCTGTGGAAGTAAAAATGTTCTCATAATTTTTGTAGTATTGAGAGGGTAAAGGCTACACATGCAGTAAGCACAGTCATGGCAGTAATATCTATCCAAGGAGTTATTCGAGCACTAACTGTAAGCATGACTTCAAAATGGTCCCCTATTTTGACGTCTTGCACGACTCTTGTTAATGTCAGTGTAACTCTGACTTGACTCAAAATGTCAAATCACGGCCCACATGACATAAAGAAGAGTCATGCAAGATGTCAAAATAGGGGACCATTTTGACGTATCACGCTGACAGTCAGTGCTCAAATTCCTCCTTGGGATAGAACAGGTTTCATCACAGGTAGCAGTAGGTCTAGAAGTAAGTGGGACTCAACGAGGAAGGTATATAGGTCAGTATTTACATGATAGCAGTCCAATTATTTAACTATGTCCAAAATGTCTTAAACACCTGATGATTGACTGTTCCTATACCAGATGCTTCCAAGAAATGATGTAAGGATTTGTCAACATGATGCAACGTAAAAGGAAAGATAGAGGTGACAAGTTCACATCAAATAAATAATTTTTTTAAAAGGTTACATTCAGTATTATCGATTGGATGACACAAAGAACGTCATACATCGAAACAGGAATTTTCCTTCCACTCAAGGTTATATAGGACGTCAGCAAATATAAATTTGACAGGCGAGGAAATACAAAATAGAAGCATCAGTTTATTCCTACTCACCAAGCAAGAGTCCATCCATGTCGAACAAAATGTGAGTAACTTTGGAGAATGCCATTTTCACCCGTTCCGACGAATTTTCAAAGATTCGAATGTTAACGTTGATGAGAACCGCCACGAACAGACGACAGAGCTAGCAGACGATACCTATATATACGAAGAAACAAATGGCTATCGTAGTAGAGATACAGTCGAAAGAGACAGAACTAGCATCCTCCCCACCATTTGTTTTTGTTCTCTCTTGCCCCATAAGTCAACGCAAATGACATTTGCTTCCTAGCTTAATTCACGTTAAAATGTCAACGGAGTATTGTTTTTGTTTGAGAACCCGCACAAAAGTTCGCTCCAAACAACGTGGCGTAAATAGTGCCAAGGCGATATGAAGCAAATGCTGAAAGTTGACTAAAGTGTGAAGCTGGAGCTCTCTTTGCTACTGCATCTAGGTGTCATGGCGTCAAACAAAGGAGCGCGGATGGTGGGCGAGGGGCGAGGCGGGGGTGCGGAGGGGTTATGGTGGAGGGGGAAGCCTCGCATAGCAGACGCCGCTCGCCGCTTCGCCCGCGCCGCCGCTCGTGTTCGTGCCCGTTCGTGGGTTCGTGTCGTGTCGTGTCGTGCCGTGTTTGCAGTCAGTGCGTTGCCGTACGCGTGGTAGGCAAGTAGTCCGTGCCGCCGCTCCGTCTGTCTTGGCATGGCCGCGGCCGTACACTTTTAGCGTTTCCCCATTTTAAAAGCCGTTTCCAGGCTTTCCGTGCGTCGCTCCGCGTCCCGATGCTCCCTGGCTTTCCTGTTGCCGTAGGTCTGTAGGGACGATATCGTTCTCGACGCCGAATCTCGCGAACTTAACCTCACTGTGTGTCTGACCGCTTTGTTTATACCGGACGATGCGCCCAAGTGCCGGTGGCGAGGAAGTGAAAATTAAGTGTGTGTCCAAGTGTGCCTGGAAGATGCGGATTAGCTCTCTGGTGGTGCTGGCCCTGGCAGCCCTGGTGGCCCAGCCGGCTCTGGCGGCTACAATTCCCAAGGATAAGGATACGTCGGATATCAGCTGCTCGAGCCTGCGGTACACCTACGAGGAGAAGGGGATCAGCGTAGGAGATGTGCCCAGCAATCCACTGACAGGTAACTTTTCTTAAAGTGTTATCCAAAAATTTGCTCTGGTCAATAAGTACAAGCGTTTGAGATTTGAGGCTTAATATCAGAATTACATCACGCTCTATAGTCTTTGGTTCTACCGGTGCCTCTGCTATCGTGCACCTAATTAGATCGATTGTCACTGACGCATTTGCTCTACTATGACCTGCTGCATCGGACCCTTTCCAATGACTTGGAGATTCAGTAAAATTTAAACCAATATGATGACAGTTTTGGGATCCCCACTGTCTTATGAGTCCGCGCTGCCCAAGATAAAGATGAGGCAGGACACATTACCAGGAGTCGACAGGAGACAGGAGACTGGGACTTTTGACACGTCTGGGAAGTTGAAGTGAAGAAGCGTCTGCTGCCGGGGAAAGCCTGCTTTAGCTGTCCTCGCGACTTGGCCAGTGCAACGGCCGTCCACCCCACCTGGCCCTCGGCCACCCGACCCGCATGCAGCAGGTACCAACAAAAACTCCCCCGCCCCGCCTCCCCCGCGCCCGCCCCCGCCGCCATGGTCCCGGTGCAGTAGAGGATGCTGCAGGGGGAGTCGCCGCCCGGAGCCAGCCGGTGTTTGTCCAAGTTATGTGCTCTTCCGTCGTGAAGGGCCCACTACAGTGCAGTAGGGCTCGCCACGAAGCAGCCACCCCGCGCAGTGTCGCAGCAGCAGCACCCGCCCTCCCCTCCAAATCCCCCCGGGGTCGCGCCGCCCTGCGCCGCTCCGCGCCACTGCCGAGCCGGAGGCAGCAGAGCCCGATAACGGTGCTCCCCAGGACCACCCTCGCTCACACCGCTGGCGGAAAAAAAACGTAGCGCCGGTTATTACAACAAAGTGCCGCCTGAGGTGTCCCGGTGCGTGGAGCACGGGGATAGACGAAGACTGGGGATGTCCTGACGAAGACAGGGGTTGTCCTCTTACGAAGACTGTTTAGTGTCTTGACGAAGACAGGGGTTGTCCTCGGACGAAGATTGTATAGTGTCCTGACGAAGACAAGGGTTGTCCACTGACGAAGACTGTAAAGTGTCCTGACGAAGACAGGGGTTGTCCTCTGACGAAGATTGTATAGTGTCCTGACGAAGACGGGTTGTCCTCTGACGAAGACTGTACATAGTGTCCTGACGAAGACAGGGGTTGTCCTCTGACGAAGA